TAAAATTTCGTGCGTAGTTTAATATTCCTAGAAATTTTTGTAAGTCTTTAGTATTATCTAATTTATCAAGCATGTTGAGGACCTTTTTTGCTATATGGGTTTGTAATTTTATCTTTCAATTTTCAATTTCTACCCCTAGGAATTTTATAAGATTTTTACATAATTTCATTTTTTTTTGCTAGTTGTAATTCCATTGTCTACAAATAATTTAAACACCATTTGTAAATGTCCTAGATTTTAGTTGGTATTATTGCTAAATACTAAGATATCGTCTACATATACTAAAATAAAAATTTTATAATCTCTAAATATATTATCCATCTTTCTTTGAAAGATTGGAGGAGCTGTTTTTAAACCGAAAGGCATTACCAACCATTCGAAATGTCCTTCTGGGCAAGTAAAAGTTGTCCATTCTATACTGTCTTCATGCATTTTGACTTGCCAGTATCCGGATTTACAATCAAACTTACTAAAAAAAATTCTTCCTTGTATTCGATTTATTAATTCTGATTTGTCTGGCAATTTATATCCATCCATTCTAGTATTGTCATTATGTCTTTTATAGTTTATTACCATTCTAGCTTTTCCTCTTAATATTTCATTATGATTTCTTACCATAAATGCAGTTGACCTATGTCTTGAAGTTGATCTTCTTATTACTCCCAAATTTAGTAATTTCTTTTATCCGATCTTCAAATTCTTTTAGGTCTTCATTTGTGGATTCTATTGAAGCAGTTTTAACAGTATATTCTGGGTTAATAATATCAAGTCTGCAAGTTATATGATTGGCTTCCAGTGCTTCAGAGGTCTTTCTCCAATTATTTCTAATTTATCTAAGATGGAAATTACCTCCTCTAGGTCTTTCTGATTTTTTATGACTCCTATATATTGTAATCCCTTTTTGAAATTGTAAAGTTCTGTATTTATTTTTATTAAGTTATAACTTTTTTCTAGTTGTATATCAGATAAACTTAGCTCTAATAATTCAATTTCTTCAATTTCTTCAATAACATGTATCTTAGTACAATTACATTCTTCTCCTTTATTACATTTTGATGTATTTGTATCAGTATACCTAGATCTTGTTGGAGCTGATTCTGCTGTTATTGAGGTCTGAGTCATATTCTTAGAGAATATTATTCCGTCTCTAGTAAGGAGACAACTTCCGTTGTTATGTAATAAGAAGTCTAAACCTAAAACAAAGTCTACTCTAATATTTAAATCTCTAACCCATATTTTTTCTAATTTATATGTGGGTTTATAAAAGTCTGCACATGTGTATAAAAAACTTACTTGAGCATTATTAACATAATGTTTATATACATTTGAAGATCCATCCATTTGCATGGCACTTTGTGGTTCTGGAAATTCTTTTATTATATGTAGAGGCAGGATACTTCTATTTATTATACTTTTTGTACATCCAGAGTCTACTAGAGCTAAAGTTTCTATTTCGCAGTTTTGAATCCTTATTCTTGTTAATATTTTGATAGTATTAATTTTTGTCTTCATTACAAATTAGTCCTTCAAATGATTTATAATCTTCTTTTTCATTAAAAAGTTCGATTTCTTCTTCTGGCGTTGTATTTTGGTTGGTTCTTTCTTCTGTTTTTTCTTTTCCCTTTTCTAATTTACTTATTCTATCTTCTAAACTATCAATTCTTTTTTCTAAAGATATTAATGTTTTTTCTTTTGTACCTATTGTTTGGTCTATAAATTTGATGTTAAATATTTTGTCAATGCACATAAGGCATCCTTCTATATAGCAATTCATACATTTAGCTCTTCTGTCTTTACTGGGGTATCCTCTGCAATTAAAACATCTTTGACTATCTAACCCTTTTCCTTTAGAAAATTGGTGATCGCATTGTATATTAACAAAAGTAAAATCTTTGATGTTTAAATCTAATTTTTCTAATCCTATTTCGTTTATTAGAGTTTCTTCCTCTGAATCAGACGAATCTTGTTGTTTTCCTTCTATTGCATCTATACTTATTATTGAATATATGCTTTCATTATCTGACATGTATTCATCTACATTTATCAAGGTTTCTTGGAAGTTTTCTATAAGCTGAGCATTTCTCGTTCTACTGTTATTTCTACCTGGGCAAGTATTAGCTAGATGTTCTTCACTTCCACATGTAAAGCAAGATAGTCTATTTTTATAAATTCTGTTATTATTATGTTTTCTTACGTGTCTATCTTTATTTAGGTAAGGCTTTCTTGTTGTAGATCTTCTTAGATAATACTTTTTTCTAGGTTTGTACTCTTGGTTATTTTGATGTCTTTTTGTATTTTCTTTTTGGTGTACTTTGATCATAGTTTTGGGTTGTGTATATATTTTTACAAAAACATGTCTCATTTTATTTTAATTGTTTTTGTATTTGTATATTTGTACATTGTAGATCTTCTTAGATAATACTTTTTTCTAGGTTTGTACTCTTGGTTATTTTGATGTCTTTTTGTATTTTCTTTTTGGTGTACTTTGATCATAGCTTTGGGTTGTGTATATATTTTTACAAAAACATGTCTCATTTTATTTTAATTGTTTTTGTATTTGTATATTTGTACATTTTTCTTGTAATATCTCCATAACATGTTGTATTTTATGTTCTATAGACCAGTTAGCGTTTGGATTTTGCATTACTCCCTCTCTCTTATTCCATCTTTCTTCTATTTCTCTTCCTAAGGCTCCAGGGAGTTTGTTAAAAAGCTTTTTTTCCAAGCTTTGATCAAACGCATTACCACTTATAGCGCAATAGTAAAAATAGTCTTTTAAAAAGTTCTTTATATGACTTCAATTTGTTATACTAAGTTGTTCTAATTTTATTAGTGCATTCTTTTGTAACACTACTAATCCGCTATTTGGATCTTCTCCTGTTATTAAGATGTGTATTTTATTAGTAAAATTATACGGGTTTGATCCCATATTTACTAGTTCTTGGAATTCTTGAGGGTAAGCCACTTTATATGCTTCTCATACTCCTTTGATTGATTCTCCTAGAAATGTCTCCATGTATAACTTAATTTTATTTAAGAATCTTATCATTTTATTTAAACGTTTTTATTTGGTATCAGAGCCTACGTTACTATTATGTGATAATTTATTTATGCAAGTAATAATATATATGCCATCTAGAATATATAAGAAAAGATTTAGGTCATACGAAAAACAGATAATAATTGACCAGGAATATCATTGGTATTTACTAAAAATAAGACAAAATTATTCAGTTATATACGACTTCTTAATAGAACAAAGACAGCTATATCTAGAGCAATTAGAATTATATTCAGATTTATTGACATCTTCACAAATACCGTCTATACACCAAGAAATAAAACAAATAGATTTACAATTACCTACAATAGGAGCTAGAATTAATCATTACATACAAGAAATCAGAATAGAAAATCAAGATTGAAAAAACAGAACCTTATATTTAGCATAAAAGGAAGAATATGAAGTATTAAGATGTTAGAATATTTAGATTTAGAAGTAGTTTCAAAAAACAAAAGAAGACAAAAGAATATGTAAGCAATGACATCACAAGCCATTACTTATAAAGAAAACTCCACTACCCAAAAGAAAGACAAAATTATTCTATAATTCAAAATCCATTAAATTGAAATTCGACTCAACAATACCCTATCCAATACTTACTCCCGAAAAAGTCAGCTTTTGGCATTAATACGCATGTCTGAACACTGATGATAATTGATGATCAACTTAATTTCTTTTCACTCAACCATGTCAAAAGCTTAACATAATAAAGTCAACATAATTTTGACATTAATTTTCATGTGTGAACACTGAAAGTGATTTAAATATGATTATGACCTCCCCCACCCATCCCCACCCCACCCCTTTTATTTGATGTATTTAGGGTATGTGGGGTGGGGGGCGAGAGGGACATGGGGGAAAGGAAAAGAGAAAGAGAAAGAGAATGAGAATGAGATTCGATCCTTCACACACAAATAAAAGAAGGAAGATTTTAAACAAAATTATTTTTAATGGATTCTTTAGAATTGCTACCTATATGGTATATCATATATGTTATAACTAATATGCGTACGTTCACATTCAAATAATTTGTAAGTTATATGTTATTATTATATTTTTCTAGGTAATAATGAATATTTAGCTAAATATATCCATCTAATAAAATTGTTATGATTAAGACAAAAACAAATACATATAAGGTGTATCAGTCATGTGTTATAGAAAAGATAGTAGTGAATTAGTAGAAATATCCGTAGTGCATAAAATTTTAACGCTGAAAGAACAAGTTTTTAATTTTCTTTGACGTTTCCTAATTTTATTTCAACTTCTAGCAACTATAAACTATCCAAAAATGTCCACCAAAATGTTCGTTAATGAGATTAAAATATCCTAACCCCAACAACTTGCACTTTTGACTAAACCATTACTATTAATTAGTAGAAAAAAATATTATCTACATTTAAACAAATTAAACAGCAACTAACTACCGTTTAATTAAATTAATTCTTTGGCACGTGGATGACGATATTAGGGTGACAACATATTACAAACGTCACTAATTTAGCGCTCCTTAATTAACCATAACATGGCCACTTTAATTATTTTTATTTGGTCATTGATCATGGAGTAACTTTTTGAAATCATAATTAAGGGTAGTTAAATTGTATAGTAAACTTTTTTTATTTTTGTATCAAAGAAACTCAGTGACAAACTCAGAATTCTTACTTATATGGAGTCCAAAGTATGGAGAAGTATACATACGAAAAAGCTAAAGACAGCTCAACATCTATCATGTATACATAAAAAATAATTTTCAAATTTGAATGAACCCCTTGACCCTACCTTAATCCGCTCCTAATGAAATCAACTTAATTTGAAAAGGGCAGGGGGACATGAATTTTTTTTTAAAAAAAGGCCCTCACACTTGTTGACTTCTTGTTATATATACACACATACATTTATAATATTTCAAGCATATAGTATGGAGATAATTAATTCCTCAGTAGTTGATATGAGAAGATTAATAGAAGAGTTGAATTGTGGTAAGAAATTCACAAATGAGCTAAGAGATTTGATCAAGAAACATAATAATATTATGTTGGCTGAGGATTTGGTGGGGAAAATTATGACTTCTTTTTCCAAGACACTCTCAATATTAAGCTCCGGTGTTGAGTTGCATCAATTTTCTCAAGTTTCACCTCGTGAGAAATCCTCAATTTCATCTTGTCTAAGTTCGAACTACTCAATTGGTAGTTGCAAGACTTCATCACTAAAAGATGTCAATCAAGAAAGATGCAACAAGAGAAGGTGAGAATCAATATTGTTTGTGATGTAGCTAATACTATTACCATTACTTCACTCCTTTGACCCTCCCCCCCTCAATTTCAATGGCGTTTTCGTCCGAAAATCCATGGTTTTTCCCGTCAACCATTGAGCTTGGTGGACAGACTTACTTGATACTTTATTACCTTGTGGAACTAATCGAGATGCGTGCGAACTGGTCTAAATAAAAATATCCATTTTTTTCTAACAGTGATGATGTGCTCCTAAATTTGTATAAAATCAATTTTATACTTCAGATTTTACCATAAATGAGAAACTTTTATAATAACACAAATGTTACGAAAGTTTCAAAAGTTTACAATCTCACATATGTTACGACATGGTTTAGATCACACTTTTCAATAATCTTCATTATTGTTTCTTAAATTCCATGTTGATTCAAACTATTTCACCTAAAATTGTGTGAAGGAGGGAGTATTAATAATTAGCATTAGTAAAAATGGTATATATCACAAACTTTTACTAATATTTTGTACAGAAAAATTTCAGCTACAACCATAAAAGAAGTTTCAACTTTGGTGGATGATGGCCATGTTTGGAGAAAATATGGCCAAAAAGAAATCCTCAATTCTTCACATCCAAGGTTTAATTTATTTTTTTCATAATTTTTTTTCAATAAATACATTAAAAGTGTGATTGACACCTATTTATAATTGATTGATGTATGCAGGAATTATTATAGATGTACTTATAAATTTGATCAAGGATGTGAAGCAACTAAACAAGTGCAAAAAATTCAAGAAAATCCATCAAGGTTTAGTATCACATACCAAGGTCATCACACATGCAAAATTTATCCATCAATTTCCCAAATACTCTTTGAATCTTCAACAAATGAGGATTCTTCAATGTTATTGAGTTTCAATTCCAACACAAATAATTATTACCAACCTTATGTTCACTCATTTCATTCAACTTATAAACAAGAACCTACTAAAGAGGAGATCTCTCCGAATTTATTCTACCCTAATGTTGACCAAAGTCAATCATCAAGCAGGTTTGGTTATTTTCAACCGTCTGATGATGGTCCGATTAGAGCAGCATTGTCATCAGGGTTGTCTGATCATAGGGCCAACAACTCTTCTTGTACTACTAATTGTAGTTTGGAGATGGAGATGATGCTGGACTCTGTTGATTTTGAAGATTTAATTCCTTTTAACTTTTGACCAATTGGTTTTTTTGCGAAAAAATCTTATGTACTCAATTTATCTAATATTATGTTGATGCAATTTTGAACAAATTTTACTTATTAACATCAAATACACGCGCAATGCACTTCACAAAAACGATTTTTTTATTAGAAGAACACATCTCCATTTCATATGTATATATTGCAAACGTTGGTAAATGGTCAACCTTTGAAATTTATTTATTTTCCTAAGATTTAATAAATGGATGGAGAAAGTATACAACTTGCACTAATAATGGCTAATTAAATAACAATCAATTAATTAATGCTAAACAGAAGTTGACATTATTCTTGGCAGGCAGTACATGTATATATGATGACAATATTAAGGTGACAACATATAATAAACGTTATCTGCAATGTGTAATTAATAATTTCAGATTGGAGAATCTTTTGCACACATAACGTTCACACCAAACTAATAATTTTTATAATTTTAAATGAAATTATTAATAAATCTACCTTAATTAAGTAATAAAAAATTATATGTGAGACATATATAGTGCATTTAGTGGCTTAATTAAAATACTGAATTGTCCTTCAGGATGACTCAATTGGTTTGGAGGGTGGTCATCCATTTGGATAACTCGGAATAGATCCCCCTTATGCCTTTTGAATCGAACCTATCGCATAAAACTTGCCTAATGCGATTTACATCCCGTGTGTTGTGGGTTATCCTAAAATTCAAAAAAATTAATAATCTCCTCAAATCATAATATTTTAGATTTTATTGTAACAAACTTTAAAATGTTTGTAAAATAAATTGGATGTCCATGTGGGCCATTATCAATGTATCAAATCCATTCTTTAATGACTTTGGTCTTATCATAAATGTAATTACTACCGTAGCAAATTCACTCCTTCATAATTTAAGACTTATAAATTGCATTTCATCTACTACAGCAAATTCACTCCTCACAGCCTAATGAAATTTTGTGTTGTGACAATTTTCTTCAAAATATTTCCATTCGTACTAAACACAAGCTATATCTAGGTTATATCTTATATGAGTAATTAATAGTAATAACTAATATCATAAATTGTATTCCTTTAGATCATTTTACTTGTCGTTCTTATTAAAAAGGGAAAAAAGACAAATATACCTCCGAACTATTACAAATGGTATGTTAATACCCTCCGTTATACTTTAAGGTTGTATATACCCTTACCGTTACACTTTTGGATTGTGTATACCCTTAAAACTAACGGACGGACACGTGGCTTCATCTCAACCATTTACTCAATTTTATTTATTTATTTACCTAAAATTAGAAGATCCACCTGACCCACAACCAAATAACCAAATCTTCATCTATAATAAACCCAATGCATCCTTTGTAAAGTTTCAAACAACAACAATGAATCAACCCCTTTCAACAACACAAATAGATTGTAAGAATATTTTTAACCTTGTGCAAAATTAAAATCAAAAGCTTTCCAACAACAATCACAAAAATATGGTGATTCATCAAAATCTATTTCAAGAATATTTTTGAACCCTTTTAACCATAACAAATCAATTTGAGCTCAAATTTTTTGATTCAATTGCAAACCCAATTTAAAGCTTGAAGTTTTATCCATCAATGGTGATAGTATATTTAACCCGTTTCAACAACAACTAATCAATTTAAGTTCAAATTTTCTTATTTGATTGCAAACCACTTTTCTTGAAGTTTTGTCCATCAATGGTGATAGTATTTTCAATCCCTTTCAACAACAACAAATCAATTTAAATTCGAAATTTTTGATTCTATTGAAGACCCACTTTTAAATTTGAAGTTTTGTCTATCAATGGTGGTAGTATTTCCAACCCCATTCAACAACAAATCGATTTGAACAACAAATTAAAATTGATCTCTTGTTTTTCAACGAAAGCACATGCTACTGTGTCTTTGTTTTAATGAGATTTGAAAAAGAGTTGCAAATGAAGATGTATTGAAGAACAATTTTGTCTTTTGTTTGATTTAAAAGGTTTTGGGTTATGTTTTAATGGAGGAGGGTTCTTTGCTTTTTATTTTAATTTTAAATGCCATGGTGTTGTAATTTGGGTCATGGGTGGGTAAATTAAGAAAGATGGGTGGATTTTTGGGTAAATAAATAAATAAATTCGGGTAAATTGTTGAGATGAAGTCATGTGTCCGTTAGTTAGTTTTAAGGGTATACACAGCCTAAAAGTGGGTAAATTGTTGAGATGAAGCCATGTGTCCATCAGTTAGTTTTAAGGGTATAGACAATCTCAAAGTATAACGGAGGGTATGTACGTACCATTTATGATAGTTCAGGGGTATATTTGTCTTTTTTCCCTATTAAAAATAGATGATTCAAAAATAGTTGTTATTTTAGAAAAATCAAGATATAATTTAATATATTCTTCTCATTTTGCCCCTAGTAAATAGTAATAATTAGGGATAAGGCATAAGTACCCACCTAAACTATGACCGAAATTCCAAAGACAAACTTAACTAAACTAAGGTCCTATTACTCTCCTGAACTCATTTTTTTGGTAATTTTGTACACCTTTTGGCTTATGTGGCACATCCCGTGACACCACAATTAAGGCGTGTGGGAGATATTTGGATGCCACGTAAGTCAAAAAGGTGTACAAAATTATAAAAATAAAAGATTTAGGGGGTATAGAACCTTAGTTTAATTAAGATGTGTTTCTGAGATTTTCGATCATGATCTAGGGATACTTATACGTTATACCTAATAATTATTCTTGAAAATCATAAACATAGAGTAATTAGCACAAAAACTTAAGTGAAAAGAACATATAGATACTTTAATATTATGGTTGCTTAGATTAACTCCTTTTTTTTTTACTGCAAAGAGAATAACATATTAAATGAATAAAGATACTCCCTCTATTTCATATTAAGTGAATTGTTGAGACTTTTTTCATAGTTCAAAATAAGTGAATTGTTCAAAGTTCAATAGAGTTGTTTGGAACTTTTTTTTATATTTATCCTTCATTAAACGAGGTTCTTAACTATTTTACATTTTTCTGAGAATAGTTTGGATATATATAATCAAAAAAGTAATAATGGAAAGTATACTTTATTTTTTATCCTTAAATATCTTTCTTAAGGAATGTGTCATACCCCAATAATTCACTTTGTTAAAGAAATTAAAGGAAATAATAAATAAGAATATGATAGCTCAAATATAGAGCTTCTTAAGAATTCGTGTAAATAAAATATATGACAAGTAAAATGATTAGAGGGAGTAGCTATTACTTTGTTACCAAGGAAATTTAAATCTAAACTAGCTTTCCTTGTTACATTAATCTATCTTTATTACTTAATATACATTATGATTGCAAACTTTCAAGCTTAGAACTCAAAAAAATTAACACAAGATGCATAACCCCCATCCCAACCCTAACTCCACAAATTCACACAATACTTCACTTAACTTATTTTAACACAAGTTTAACTTTCATACACTGACAATACATAATTATTTCAAACTATGGTTCAACAAACCAATATTAGATCATGAAGATCAACATACACTACTATATATAGTTATTTTCCCCTTCAAGTACAAGATGCATCATAAACCCCACCCTAATCCCAATAGTTCACACAATATTTCACTTAGCTTATTCTAACTCGAGTTTAACTTTCATACACTAACATTACATAATTATTTCAATCTATGTTTCAACAACCCCCTCAAGCTAAGTACAGGTCTTATTCATAGTTCTTGACAAATTTCCAGCAAAATCGCGCTCGCGTAGACCCCAAACCAATGCTAATGAAGACACAACCACAGGAACAGGACCAAACATCCAAAACAAAAGAGGAAATGTCATACAGAGTACTCTGTCACCAACAAAAGCCAATGTAAATCCTCTTTCAAATATGGTCTCTGTATGTCTTGGATTTATAGAGAATTCCCCTAAGGCATTAACCAAGAAATTAGCATCTATTAAGAAACCAAGTGCCATTGAGCTACACAAGAAGCTAGCCACCAAGAAAATTGTTGCTGATCCATATTTTAGTACAATTGTTTTCCCTGTTTGTGACCCAAAGAAAGCACTAGTAAATAAGTTGCTCACTTTTAATGTATTGTTTGTTAAAGCTGCCATTGCTAATGTTATGAGAATTGTGATTGTAGCTGTTAGTATTGTCTCCATTAATGCATTTCGTAAACTTTGTACAGCCAATGTGCCTTTCTTTTCACTTCCCTATCACACATACAAAAAAAGAAAAAGAAAAACGTTATTCAAACGCAAACTCAACATCTAGAGTCAATGAATTCAAAATACATTATATTAATAGTTATCAAACCCATAGTAACCCCTAGATCTGTGTTTGTTCATTCGAATCAGGGGTGGAGCTACAATAGTAATTACAAGTTTGGTAACATTCAGTATCTTTGACTCAAATTTTATATTCACATTAAAAATTCATGTAAATTATGTACGAATAATTTATCCAACACTCACTCAACTAAAGGATTTGTGAACCAAGACCTAATAAACGAAAAATCATGACCCTGCCTCTGATTGAATCATGGTGTAGCCACGAAGTACGAGTTTAATGAAACCAAGTAACTTTAGCTCAAATATTTTATTCAAGTTAAAAATTCATTTAATATGTATGTATAAATAATGAACAATCTATCCAGAGCCTAATATGCAAAAGAAATTATTGTGATCAAGAACCAATAAACAAAATATCGTGACTCCGACTTTGATTAGAATCAGGCGTAATCACGATGGTAATTATGAGTTTAGTAGAATTCAGTAACTTTAACTCAAATCCTATATTTATTTAAAGAATCAGTTAATAGGTACGAATAATCTATCCAAAGTTCTCTAAGTCAAACAAAATTATGATCAAGAGCATCATAAACTAAAAATCCTGACTCGACTCCTGATTAGAATTTTCATAAATATTTAATTTATAGAAATTTAAAACAAAAGAATGAAAGGGAAGAATAACTTGCTTGATTGAGCTCACGCAGCCAAGATCTC